ACGATTAAACTTCAAAAATACACTGAACTGAAATTTGAATTAGCATTAGTTCATGACGCAAAATGACCGAAAATTCTAATAATGATATAGTTCCTCCTGTTGTTTCATCTAATACTTCTACATCAAAAACAAGTGGAAAACCAAAATCTATCATATGAGAAGATCATATTAAGCAAGGAAAGCAAATTTCCAAGGGACATTGAAATGCAACATGCAATTATTGTAACCAATTTTGGTATAAAGGTTCTCCTGCTGCTCTCAAAGACCACTTAGGTAATTTATGTAATAACGTGCCACTGGATATTCGTGACCTATTTTTAAACTGGTTAGCAGCAAAGGCACTTGATTTTAATATATCAAAATCAAAGAAACGAAAACTTGGAAATCAGTCAAATCAAGCACAACTTTCAGATTTTATCGAAAGTACAAAATTGATGCCAGAATGTATTAAAGATTAAACAGAGCATTGGTGAAAGCTTTTGTTGTTTGTGGAATCCTATTTCACATTATTCAGAACTCATTTTTTATCGAATTATTAAAAACATTACATCCGGCATATGAACCTCCGTCTAAAAATATCCTTTCTGATCGTTACTTGGCACAAGAAACAGCGTTTGCTAATCAGGCAGTTATTAAGAAATTAAATAGTTCAAAAAATCTAACTATAGGTAATAAATATACAATTATTTATTTATAATTATTATGGCTAATGCTAAAGCTTTTAACTAAAAGCTTTTTATTTATTAGCGTGTGATGGTTGGAGCAATCCTTCTAGTGATTCTATTTGGAACTTTGTTGTATATACTCCGGATCGTTGTCAATATCTGTAATGTCTTCTAAATTTGTCTAATGAAAGACATACCCAGGAACTTTTAGCAGAAGAAATTACTAATGTTTTAAAAAAAAATTGGATCTGAAAAATTCTCAGCTATCATAACAGATTCAGGTGCTAATATTCAAGCTGCATGCCATATAATTGCAAAACAATACCCGAACATTTTGAATCTTCGATGTATTTCGCATGCTGTTAACCTTATTTTAAAGGATATTTGTAAGACTCCATTTGCAAATCGCATGCTTACACGCTGTAATACCGTGGTTAGCTATTTTAAAAGAAACCACCTTGCAGGTCTGTTATTTAAAATATTTTTTATTATTAATATTATGATTAAATATAATATTAAAATAGTTTAATTATAGGAAACACACTTAAAATTCTGGCTGAAGAAAATTTGGTTGAAGGAGGAGGACTTAAGCGGTGGGTAGATACCTGTTAGCATACTATGTATGATTGTGTATTTTTGATTATAAGACATAAAGTGCCTCTAGAAATAGTAAGTTGAACAATACAATAATATAATACTTTTTTTTGTTAAAATTCTAATTTAATAAGTTATAATTTTAGATTCGTAATAGTGATAATGTAAATGTTTCAGTGCAATCAATACTACGCACAAGAGCATTTTTTGATGATTTAAATACATTAGCATTTGTACTTCGCCCTATTAAGCTAGCTATATCAATTTTTGAATCACAAAATTGTTCACTAGCCAACTGCTTCATTGGTCTAGTTCATTTGGGAGCAGCAATTAGAAGACTTCTGGAGAATGATTATCATAGTTTTTGGCAACAAGCAATTACAATTTTTAATAGAAGATTTGCAGAGTTTGACGACGATGCATATATTTTATGCTTTTTTTTACATCCTGGATATACTGGTAAATTATTTATTTTAAATTTAATTTTGATTTACATTTTACTAAATTTTATCTTAATACAAATATATGGGCAAGAGGAACGTTCCGGCGTATTCTTTTGGCGGCAGATAGTTTCTATGAAAAAATAGGTAAGAAACCCAAAGAAAGAAAAATGCTGATATCTCAAATGAGAAGCTACTGATATCACATTGCACTATTCGATATATCATTTAATGATAATAAATCTTCTTCAGTTTGGTGGATATCATTGGAGGATTATTTTTTAAAAGATGAGGATCATATTTGTCAATTAGCTCATATGCTACTTTCTATAACACCACATGCGGCCAGATACAAAAGAATTTGGTTTACATTAGGGTGGTATTATGGAAAATGTTATACATGTCTTTCTTTAGACAAAATTGAAAACATGCAAAAGCTTTCTGCTTTTTATCTTGCAAATTTGAAGAATGAGCTGCCATATTTTGCTTCTAATATTGAAAATTTATACGAAGCATTGTCTAATATAAATTTTTATGATGATGATGATTATGATAAATATCTTAATGAAGAAAAACCAGCAAATGAAGAATGACCAGTAAATGAAGAAAGACTAGCGAATGAAGAAAGACCATTGAATGAAGAAAGACCATCGAATGAAGAAATACCATTGAATAAAAAAAGACCAGCAAATGAAGGAAAACCAGGGAATAAAGAAAGACCAGCAAATGAAGAACCTACTAATGAAAAAACAGAGGATACTTTCATACCGCTATAAGAAAAAATATTAAAAATCGAGGAATTGTTGAATCTTGATGCAACTATTTTTACAAATGATCTAGGTGAATTAATCGTTAATACTAATTTTGAATTTCCTGATGAGGAAAATATTATTGTTTGGGATAATAATATAGAAAATGATGAGGAGAATTGGGATTCTGAAAGAGAGGTCAATGCAATATTAAACTAATATAGTTTGTAAATGTTTTCTTGCATCTAACCAACAAATTTATAGATATCAGGATTAATAAAAGTTTGGCGCTCAATATTGATCATTATTGCTCATTACCCAACTGATTAAATACATATATGATATAAGACTTATTTTACAAATGCTAGAGATGTGTTTCTTGCACATAATAAATTACAATATTTAATTACGAAATCAATTTTTATTAAAGAAATCTCAAAAGTTTGGTTACACTAATAAAAAAAATGTATAATTGTATAACGGTAATTAGATTTGAACATAAATAGTTACTTTATTATATTATTGAAAATAAAATTATTGAACGCTCTTAAAAATGCGTTGTTTAATAGCTAAAAATTATTAGATTTGTAAAAAAAGTACCAGATTAGTACAGGATTAATAAAAGTGAGGAGCGACCTCAAATAAAGTTCTTTTCGATCTATTAATAGCACTCTCTAATACATACCAGTAAGTGAATATTAAAGTTTTTATTGTGGCGAACTTAATTATAATATACATATATTGTTACAAATATGGTTAGTTCGTCATAGTAAAAAAACTTATTAGCATTTGCCTTAAATATGATATTGGACTTATATTAGATTTATCAGAATATCGGATTTTTATCAGATTTATATTAGACTTTCGTCTTAATTTCGGAGTTTAGGATTATTATTTCGGACTACTTGTTAAAATCTGAAATATTTCGGAAATAGAAATATAATTTCGCCCAAACCATTATCTCAAATTATGTATTTTGTATTTTCTAAATATTTAAATCTCTCAGTGTTGTATAATTACTGACTAACTTTTGAATATTCTTGACTATTCTTGCCATCGTAATGTTATCAATATTGAAATTAATCTATCTTTATTTTGTAAATTATGTATATTTTTCGAATAAACAAAAAATTCGTAAAGATCTGGTAAATCATGTTTGGAAAGAAGCCACTTTTAAAGCAAGATTATATAATGATTATGATGAAAAGTTACTAAAAGAATGGCATGAAGATCAATCGAGATTCGTTAAAGAAAATACAATTTTAACATTAATGGAAACCAAGTACCTTTTTGATCAAATAATTAAGATCAGAGAAGCTGTAGATAAAAAAATAAAAGTAGCGAAATATTCATGTGTCCTATTTGTAAGTTAAAAAAATGTTCAAAAATATATTGTGAACACTGTATATGCTTAAAATTGAAAAATGAAATATAGACATCTGGAAATAAAAAACTTGATATTTTTTTACGAAAATGTCAAGATGAAAGTCCTATACCTCATTGCATTGTTGAGTGGATAGAATTTTGTGAATTAGAAAATGTCAAGTTTTTAGCTAAAGGTGGGTTCGGAAAAGTGTACAGTACAATGTAGACACGTGTAAGATCATGGGTTGGAACAAAACATCAAACACTTTTGTACGAAATCGCAGAAATGTGGCACTTAAAGTTTTTAATGGAGACAGTCTCCCTGATGAAGAATTTTTTCAAGAAGTAAGTCATTCATTTGTTAATATAAATTGTCACTGTTCAATTCTAAGTTCTTTATTCTAATTAACAGGCATATTGGAATCACATATTCACTAAACAATGGAATTACAGACCTTGTGTTGTTGGTATACTAGGATTCACAAAAAATCAAGAAGGAAAATATATGATTGTCTTAGATTTATGTGAGGGAGGCGACTTACAAAATTATCTCCAAAAATATTATAAAATAATGAGTTGGAAAGATAGAGTAAAAGTTGCTTGGGATATTTCATATGATATATATAGAGTTGTCGAAAACGGATCGATTCACAGTGATTTGCATCCTGGCAACATACTTTTATTAAATGAATCTATGATTGATGACTGGTATATTTCTGATCTTAGAACGTGTAGGCCGGTCAATATGACAAAGAATCAAAAAGAAAAAATCATGGGGGTATTGCCATACATTGCGCCTGAACTCCTTTGTGGTGGTTGCAAGATACAAGAGTCTGATATTTATTCTTTTGGAATTATAATGTGGACAATAAGTGCAGGATGTATTCTATTTAATGACCGATACAGTGATCCATGTTTGGCTAACAATATTATTTGTGGCCTTCGACCTTCCATCATTCCTGGAACACCGAAAGAATATGCTGAATTGATGTGCAAATGTTGGAATAAAGATCCATGTAATTGAATATTTGTCAAGATAATATTACCTTGTTGGGTAAGATGTAGCTGTGAAAGAAAAAAAGCATATGAATCGATGGAAGAGTCAATAAATAAATTAATAGAATTGATGGGTAAAGAACTATGATAGTATAGAAGCCTTCATTTAACTTGTCTTTTTTTTTCCATTCTGTCGAATGTCTCAATAAGAAAGGCTGTATATAAGGAGTAGAACATTTGATTAGAACAGATTATTAAGCTAAAGTTCAATAGTGGTATAATAAAAAAGATGAGAATAGATTAGAATTTTCAAATTTATTCTTTTCTTGATCTGTAGTTTTGTTATACATAAGAGATCAAATCATTTTTGTAAAAGTATTACTGCATTAATTATTATTATCAGATTATTATTAACTGTATACAACTATCCCTCTATATAATAAATAAATAAAGCTCTTTGTGTTAATAAAATATAATGTTCTTTAAGTATACTAAATTACCCTAGTCTTAATTATACTCAACTATCGTCTTAGACTGTACGAAGTCGTTCCTGCCTCTAAACTATTAGGTAAAGCCTTGATACTGCTTTGTTTTGTGTGTGTGAGTTGGTTTATTTGGCCTACGACAATTTAGTGATAACTGTGAGATTCGAAATTAGAACTGTAACTATGCTGACTACCTCTCCTTGATAGTTTTTTTTTATTGTTAATAGTTTGTTTGCTGAATTTGAGGACTAATATATCAAGTCCAAATTGTTTTTTTAGATTTCTTTTTGTAGAACACGAACTATATCCACTTGTGTTTACTTTGTGATAATTTTTTTTTTGAGAATTAAATTGTTTCTTTAAGAAGTTTTATTTTAGGACCAACATATTGAGTCTACCCAAAACTATTGTCGCAATTCTCACTATTATATTATGATTTTCTGGTCCCTCTCACAAGTTGTAATTATTGTAATTACTATCAGATATAAAACTGGTCAACTAGAATCTAAAATCCAAAATAAGAATTAGTACAATGCCAAAAAAAAAAGAAAAAAGAATAGATACTAATTTGATCAAAGCAACCTAAAAACAAAAAAACTAGTATCTTCTGAAAAACTGAAATATATATATTATATATTATCTTTAACATACTAAGACTTATATATGTAATTATTATGATATAAAAAAAATAATAATAAAAATATATATATAATAAAGAAAAAAAAAAGCTTATTGTAACAAAAATAATCAACAAATAAACTCTAAAGGGCCATATAAATAAACCTTGAAATAAAAATCGATTTCGCCTCTTCTAGTTCACAATTAGATCTTTTAAAGTAACCCTACAACTACCATATATTGCAACTCGCCTTAAAAATAAATAATAAAAAGACACTATAGGCCAACAAGACATTCGCCAAGTTAACAATGATAACCTTCTTTCCAACCAAGAGAATAAAGAAGACCAACTATCAGAATATAGTGATAGAAGTAAAACTTCTGTTAATGATTATCTCATATATCTTGAAAGAAATAATAGTAGAAATAATAAAAACCCAAATTTGTATCAGAACCAGGATATCTCTAGGCAGTTTTAAGAGAAATAGCCAACACTTTCAGAGATGCTACTGCTGGAACTGCTGCTGCCCCAAGAGCCCCTTTTTATGAAACTAAGTATGTATAGAACCATTTTTTGGTACTAAAGAAGAAGATCTTCTCAAATGGGTCAAACTGTTCAATCAAGCAGCTGATGTAAATAATTAGACTCCCAGAAGAAAGATCAAGATAGCCTCTGAGTATTTGCAAGGTATTGCTACCAACTAGTATGATGAGTTAAAAACTGTTGGAATTCTGTGATAATGAAAATAAGCCTGAAGCAAGCTTTGTCCTGCACTTTATACAATACTTTGCTACACTCTAATAACATCATAAATGGCAAGTAGAATTAAATTCACTAGCACAATGAGAGAATAGGCAAATCGACTTGTATGTATTCAAGTTCAAGAAACTTTTGAGAAGAGTTGATCCAGAACATTTGTTGCCCCAACCGTACATAGTACGAATGATCTTAGGAGGTTTGAAGCCAAAGACAGCCTTGTAGTTGAGTATTACTGAATCTTCTACATCAGAAGAAGCTATACTTGGTGCTCAAAAAATCGAAGCTAGGGAATATTATAATAATAAAAGTAAGAAGAAGCCTTAAAATAATAAGAAATTAGAGATGGATCTGACAACCTAATCCATCAAGTGCAAAACTTAATGTCTGCCCTTATTTTGTCTACAGAAACTGCTCCAAGATCCTGCTCCCCATATAATAATAACAATAATAATAATAATAATTATCATAATCATAATAATAGTAATTATGATTCATCTTGGTTAGTCTGTTATAAATTTGGTAAGCCTGACCACATCTTTCATTATTGTATATCAGAGAGAACCCAAAATTAGAATCAAAATTGGCCCTAATCTACTCAAAATAACTCAACCAACTAGCTCACCTATATTCTATCTAGACACAGCAATGTTAATTTTTGCAGAATTGAAATAGATAAAGAATATAAGCTTGAAGTTGAGGAAGAAGAAGCCTTTGTGATCTCTGTAGCTCATTATCAATCATATTCTATCCAAAAGCCCAAAAAATGATGCTTTAAAAGATTAAAGGATAAAGCAGAGTAAAGATATCAGTATATTCTCCCCCAGACTAGAAGCTCCAATTCTACCTTCAATAAATATAAACTCTTTGCAACCAATACTACAAGCCCTAGTAGCACCTCTACAAAACCTTGACGAAAGAGAGGCCTCTCTGTAATCGATTAGTTGGAATCATATGACATGGCTAAAGATATTATGAACCTAGAAGCTAATGTAACAGTCAGACAAATATTACAGTATCCAGATTAAAGACAGAAGTTAGCTAAGGTACTGAGGAGGTCGTTAACTTTGTTAGAACTGTCAGTTGCATCTTTCTAGACTATGCAAACCAATGCTGCTCATAATCAAATGAATAGAAGAACCACCACTGCCCACTACTATGTAAAAATAAAAAATAACCCTGTAATCGCTATTTTAGATTCTGGTATAGCTGTGAGCATCTTATCTAATAAAATGATAGAAAAACTACAATTGAGGATCACTGAACCTTCCAATATCATAGTAGTAACTGTGAATAGAATCTGAGTAAGAATGTTAGAAAAAATTGTCGATTAAAATTAGTGTTAGATGGTATTATGATCACAATTTTTGAATCAGTGCTCAGTTTAGTCACAGGGTGCATGTTTGTATAATATCTACTGCCTAATGATTTATCTAAGTAACTATAGTAACTATTAGTGCATAATATGTAAAATATAAAATTTTATTGTAATTTGATTCCTATATAAAACATGTCACATATTATAAACAAAGAGATAAAGCACTTAAAAAACCATATAACTGAATAATTTATATTCAAATATAACATATACGTATATGCAAATTATTAGATTTTCTGTGTATTTTTAATATATAATTATTTTAAATGTGATTTTTATAAACAATAATCAATAAATATTGAGGTTTTGGTCAACTGATCAAATTGCAAATCGATTAGAAATAAGTTTACTAAAATAATGAAGCTGAGACTAGAAACAGCTAAAGATCAAATATAAAAAAATAGTTTGAAATGCATTTTTTTGCAATAGGTTAAAGTTTAGATAATAAGAATTATAAGCATATTTTCGCAAAATTCATATTTTAAATTGAGATTCCTATTTTTCAGCATTAGTTATAGATAATTTAATCTGATAACATAGTACAAAAATAAAAAATAAGTATACATACTGTTAAACAAAGTATTAAAAAATAAATCAAATAAAAAAAACTAAATGTTGGCTTACTATATTTCTGAAAGTAACTTATGTTTTAGTTAGTTAATTATTGGCTTTGTATAGGCATATTTCTTAAAAAGTATCTCAGTTTCAATTAGTTTTGGATGATCTGCAAATTTACTAGTTTTGCTCTAAGTTTACTTATCTGAGTATTAACAAGCTGATTAATAATATATTATTAACCACTTATACTAATATTCTGATTAATGAATTTAGAAGACAAAATAGTAACACAATATTAAATTTCAGTATTTAACCTGTTATGATAATATCAAAATGATATTAAAAAATAAATAAATTGTATAAATATAAAACTTGAATAATTGAAGTGATTTATATTTTTTTAATACTCTCCTTCAATTTTATATTTTCTTTGACAATATTTTTTTTACACTTTCTTTAATTTTATGTTTGTATTTGCACATATTATGAAACCTGATTTAAATAATAACACGGACACATTAAATATTTTACAACAGCTTTGCCTTCAAATTACCAATATATAATAAACTCATTTAAAAAATACCTGCATATAAAATTTTGGGTGCATATGATTAACTTTTCAAAGCTAAATTCTGTGTTAATATTACTATATATAAGAATATTAAAACATGGTTAGAAGAATTTATAGATTTGCACAAAGTTACGATACAAGAAACGCAAAGAAGAGTTATTAAAGGTGTTCGTTATCTTCTTTCAAAATAGTTTTACTGTATCTATAGTTATGTTGTGAAACTAAAGCAAGGCACCTATAATAAAGATTTTGTTAATAATAACAAAATAAAAGAAAATTAAACTTATATAAAAAGCACACAACAACAAGACACTAATTGCCCAGCGGTGCTTAGTATATAGTTGAGTAATAAATCTGAACCCTATCTATATATAGTTAATATCTTCTTCTATCATAATCACCCTTAAGTCAAGTTATGTTATGAGTTTCTATTCAGTATCAGACTTAACAAAAAATTACCTCTTTGAACTTTTCAAAGCTATACATAGTCTTAGCAGCACTTATCATATATATGTAGAACAACTACAATTGGAGTTTGATAATAATGAAAAAGTATTAGCAGACAGAGCAATTTGTCCACATAAAAATGATTTTTATTATCTTTACCAAAAATTTTGTGTTCAGTCCGTAGGCTCTCAAATAAAAAAATATGTTTAATAAATTGGCAGAGGAAATATTTGAGTTTAGTAACAATAAAAAAGAAAATATCTAGATGCAGCCATATCTTGCTCTAACAAATAAAACTCTAGACAACCATTTATTTTAGTTATAGTAACGAATCTTATGAAATATTATTATACATTACCTCAAGCTAGTAAACTAGTTTATATAGATACAACTACTAGACTTGATACTCTTAATACCCGTTTAACAATTATTTCTACAAGCACACCTGTTGGTAGTTTGCCTCTCGCTACAATTTTTATATCAGATGAAAAGGCAGAAACTTTAAAAAAGATATTAGATATATTAAAATATAGGATGCTATTAGCAATATTTAGAGAACATAGATCTTATATTAGTCCACAAGTAATTATAACTGATGATTGTAGAGCCAAAGAACAGCATTAAGTCATATCTGGGTAAAGGCCACTTTACTTTTGTGTGTCTTCTATTTTTTGCAAGCAATGTGGCAATGGCTTTGGAATAGCAAACATAATATTCATAAGGATAACTATATAATCCTGATTAACTATGTAAAAAAAATAGTTTTCACAAAATCAGAAACCACTCTCAATTCAGAATATATAAATTTGACTATAAGTCAAATTTATTTAAAATATCTAAATTTCTAGTCCTAGTTTGAGGCATGTTGGAATCATTGTTGAGAATAGGCTACGGCATTTTATCAAGAATTACCAACTCGCAATAATAATATAAATAATATTGCAAAAGCGAAATTCGGATTATAAAAGAAATTATTTTTTATCAGATTTAAGCCTATAATATTGTACAAATATATCAATTCATAATAAATACAATGAATTTTTACTATGTTCATAAGTTATTAGCCATTGCTTACAATAAATTAGATTATTTTATTGCACTTTGCTTTAAATTGTCAGGTTGGCAAATTAAAACAAAAGAAGATATAGAAGTTGTGAGTTTTGATTCAATAATCTTTAAGCATAGAAGCAGTAAAGATTATAATGTACAATACCTTGTAGACATGCAACTTGAAACATGTGAATATAGCCTGATAGGTACACTATGCAGGCATCAAGCATCTATATCAAAGCACTATCAAATTTGCGGTTTAAATCAAATTTCTACAATATCATCAAATAAATGGTATGACTATACATATCTTGCATTAGATGAAAAATACAAGCCTCTTAGCTTTTATACCAATCTCCATTAAGCATAGCTAGAAAAAAAAGACCATATAAGCTCAGTACTAAATAATAAACTGGTTCAATTAACCAACAATGTGAATAATGAAAATAAAGAAAACTTACTATTTTTGGCTAAATCTTTATATGATGATTATAACAACTGTGGTGTCTACAATAATAATAATTTGGTTAATAATAATATTAATAATAGCATTAGTAATGAGAAAGATATTGAAAATGATATTAGTAACAGTAATGATATTAATTATATTAAAGATATTGATAATAGTAAAGATACAGTTGATAATAAAAATATGGAATATAGTAAAGATATTAAAGGTGATGGTATTAGTAATATTAAAACTTTATTAATTAATAAAATACAT